CCATGTCTTCTTGGTGCAAGCTGAGCAGGATGAGTGCTTAGCAAGTGGGTCGTCTGTCAGGGGGCCTTTAGCTGTGATTCCTGCGTTGCAGGGGGGGTGGACTAGATGAGCCCTGGGGATCTCTCTCCACGCCAACCCACTGAGCAGCTCTGCCTTCTTTTGGGAGCCCAGAGAGATCTCCTGGGAAGTGGGGGAGCCCGTCCTCAGCACCCGCTCAGGAGGACCCCGTGCCAGGCAGGACGAAGGGCATGGGCAGAGGTGGTACCTGGGCCCTCAGGGAAGCGCTAGGGCCGTATCCAGATCGGGCGTAATCCCGGAAGTTGACCCCGTCGTTGCTGTAGACCAGGCGGTAACGGGAGACGTAGCCCCGGGAGGGCCCCCCGCCTTGCGTGACCACGGCAGTGAGGAACGTGGGCTGAAGGAAGTCCACCTGGAAATAGGGGTCGGGGTCCGAGGGGCCCGGGCTCCACCCGGGGGCCATGTTCTGCCTGGTGGGGGGAAGGAGAAGCATCAAGGTTTGGCCTATTAACCATTCAGCAAAATAAGCAGCTGCCTAGGGCATCAGGAGAAGGGGCGGCACCACATAATTTTTTTCCATTGCCCATTTTTTAAACATTAATAGTCACAAGTTCCTCAGCCCTCTCCTCCTCCTCCAGGAATTCGTCTAATCCCCTTTTAAAGAGGATTTAACATATTTTGTGGTTTTCATCTTGTATTTTTATGCCCTGACGTCTACAGCTGACGGGCAGCCTACCAATTTAATAAATAAGAATAATAAATGACAATAATCATCTTGAAAGTAATAGGAACAATGTTTCACATGTGGTGGGAATGCCGACCTATTAAACAATTTTGGAATGAAATATATGAAGAAATCAAAAGAATGTTTAAAATATATTTTGGTAAAAAACGGGAGGCATTCCTTTTAGGTATAATTACAAAAGATGTTAGATGTTCCTGGCAATCAAAGGAAAGTAGTCCTCTATGCAACAACTGCTGCCAGGATGCTCATAGCAAAAAACTGGAAAGGGGGGCAAATCCCATCAATAAAAGAATGGCAAATTAAACTTTGTGAATATATAAATTTGGCAAGATTCACAGCATTCTTAAGGGGACAATCGGACCAAAAATTAGCAAAAGAATGGGATTGTGTTAAAGAATATATGAAAAAACATTGTTCTGGATTAAGTATATCGTATGTAACGAATGAAGCTTTGCAGCATTAAAGAAATTGAAAAGCGGTGTGAAAGGTGTAAAGATAGAGGTAATTTACATTAGACACAACAATTCAGAAAGATTAAAATTTTTGAGGTCTCAAAACAGAGGAAGGAAGTCAATATGTGTATATGTATGTAAAGATTAGTATGATGGCATGGGTTTTTTTGCAGGTGTGTTTTTTTTCCTTTTTTTGGTTTCTGTTTGTTTTGCTTTGTTTTTGTTGGTTTATTCGTTTTTTAGGATTTTATGTTTGTAATTTTTGTTGTAACTTTGCAATGAAAATAAAAATTATTTTAAAAAATCATAAACCCATCCAAGTGGGTGGCCGTCCCTTTCTCCTGCAGCAGGGAGTTCCAGAGATTAACTATGCACTTTCTTTTATCACCATCGAATTGTCTGACCCCTTCCTTCCTTCCTTCTGCAATGCAAACCCACCATGGTACCCTCACACCAACGCTCTCTGAGCTCCCCCCATCTGTCCCTGACTCCAGGAAGCTGACTTGGACCCCCAAACTTACATGTTGGGCATGATGTTGAGGCGCCCGGCGTCTGGTGGGTTCCCGTCCTGGTAGGACGAGGCGCTCAGCTGCTGCTGGTGGATCCGCCCGTCTTCCAGACCGAGGGCTTCGCTGCAGGAACCTGCGTCGAGAGGGTGCACAAATCCAGTAAGAGGCGCCCCCAGCTTCGCTTCCGTGGATTTGCAAAGCCAGTTTTATTTTTATTTTATTACATTAATATGCCGCCCTTTGCCCATAGATCTCAGGGCACATCACAACACGTGTCAGCTTAGAAATCGGCACAACAGCCTCTCGAGGTAGGCCGGTGTTAGTTCTGCTGTATCCGAGGTTTCCAAACGTTTTGGGGCTCCTACTCGCTCGGTACCACGAGCTCTTCCCCAGTGCCCCCTAACCCTGCCCCATAAATAAATGAAAACCATTGCTCAGGACAGCAGTTTGCACAACCCGCTAGAGGAGACAACGGTAAAATTCAGCAGCGAATACTGCATGCGAAATATTTTCACACCTTCTGATCAACGAAAGCAGGACAGAGGAAATTTATGTCGTATTTACATACAACCACTTTCCAAACCCGCACAAACCTTCACTGTCACAGATGTACGGTAAGTCATTTACAAGAAAAATCAATCACTATCGCCAATAATGGTCCATCTTGTGACAACTCAGAATCATTAATAATAATAAAAATAAATTTTATTTTATACCCCGCCCTCCCCGGCCAGAGCCGGGCTCAGGGCAGCTAACACCAGTAAAATTACAGTAAAAACATAATAAAAACCAATTTAAAATACAGGTTAAAATGCAATTTAAAATGCAGTCTCGTGCTCTACCCACTGGGCTATCCCATCAACATGGAGGAATGAAAGGTGACGGGTGCAGATCTTGGAGAAGGCTGGGACCAAGCCCCCCCCCCCCCCCCGTGAGGGAAGAGATGCACTTTACCTGGCTGGGGGAAGGTGAGACCTTCAGGAAGCGGCCACCCGCTGGGGGACACCTGCAAGGATGGAGAGAAAAGAGAGTCACCTTCCGCTAGCCAGTTTGGATAAATGGGAATTGTCCTTCCAGGGAGCTGACGGTGTTGCTACTTGGCTCCCTGGTTTTAACTGCACCACAGCCCTGAGAGGAAGGCTGGAAAAGGGTAACCAAGAGACACCGAGACATGATAAAAATTTGTTCTTATATGCAACAACTGCGGCAAGAGTTTTGTTAGGCCAGAGATGGAAGCAACAGGAGTTAGAAGAGTGGCAGGTGAAGCTGATGGACTTTGCAGAACTGGAGAAACTGACGGGAAGAACCAGCGAGACCAGGCATTCCAAAAGGACTGGAACAAATTCATATTTGAAAGACAACTGTAAGCAATTAACACCATTAGCAGGGTTATCTGAAGATCTGTAAGGGGAAATTGCTACTTATCCAGGTTGAGTAATATCATATTTTAGGTGATGGTATAACAAGCATAGGAAGCGAAGCGGAATGTAAAGATGCAAAGTTTAATTCTGTGAACCGTCAGACCGGAGGGAGGGAAGCCGTGAGGATCAGTTGAGCCAAAGAGATAAAACAAGGGGGTGTGATGTTACGTAATGTGATTATATGTAAAACCAATGAAAAATATTTTTAAAAAAGAAAAGAAATGCTGTCCAAGTGAATGAAAGATAAATACAGAGATGAATGAATATGGAAGTTTAAAAAAAAGAAAAGGGAAAGGGAAAGGGGAAAGGAAAGCAAAGAAAAGGGTAAGCAGCCCCAGACCAGCCCACGAGCTTCTTGGCTGAGTGGGGATTTGAACCCAGTCCCCACCAGGCCTCGCCTGTCACTGAACCACTTGTCCTCGGCTCCCTCCCTCCTGGAAACTCGAGTTCTTAGCCACACAGACACACACACCGACCCATCCTGCCTCAATTCCCCTTGGCACTCTCACCTGAGTTGCGTGGGGCACGGAAGGCTTCGTCGGCTGTTTTTCGGAGGTCCAAGAGCTGAAATAAATATTGCAAGGACTTTTGCTAAGGGGTTCCCCACAAAAGCTCTCAAACTGCAATCGTTGGTGGAGGAATGTCTCTCTAGAGTCAATTATTGCTTAGCCAAGCCTGCCTAGTAAAGGTAAAGGGACCCCTGACCATTAGGTCCAGTCATGGCCGACTCTGGGGTTGCGGCGCTCATCTCGCTTTATTGGCCGAGGGAGCCGGCGTACAGCTTCCGGGTCATGTGGCCAGCAGGACTAAGCTGCTTCTGGTGAACCAGAGCAGCGCACAGAAACACCGTTTACCTTTCTGCCGGAGCGGTACCCATTTATCTACTTGCACTTTGAGGTGCTTTCAAACTGCTAGATTGGCAGGAGCAGGGACCGAGCAACGGGAGCTCACCCCGTCTTGTGGATTTGAACCTCCAACCTTCGGATCGGCAAGTCCTAGGCTCTGTGGTTTAACCCACAGCGCCACATGTGCTAATGGGAAACTCCAAGCCAAAGAGCCCTCTCGCCTCCTGTGGTTTTCAGGAAGTGGTACTCAGAAGAATTGCTGCCTCTGACTGTTTACAGGTAGGTAGCCGTATTCGTCTGCCATAGTCAAAACAAAATAAAAAAATTCCTTCCAGTAGCACCTTAGAGACCAACTAAGTTTGTTATCGGTATGAGCTTTCGTGTGCATGCACACTTCTTCAGATAGCACACTTCAGATATCGTATTTTTACATATGCCTCTGTCCGCCCTTCTGAAATATATTCGGTCGAGAGTGGATTTCATGCTCTTTATTCAGCTCATAGTAGTGAGGAATGGAAGTTCCCTTGAAATGTCTGCTTTATATACATTATTTACACAATGGGCCCCACGTGACTGGCTAATTCTGGGATTCTCCTGTAGGCCAATCAGGTTGCGGATTCACTTCCACCTGGAGCCGGATTGGGTGGCTCCTGCGGACCAATCAGACTGTTGCATTCTGGATCCTATTGTTCTAGGACCAATCAGACTGCTGCATTCTGAATCCTATTGTTCTAGGACCAATCAGACTGCTGCATTCTGGATCCTATTCAACTCAGTACATAACATCTTCCGTTGTGAAGAGTTAATTACTCTGCTGATTAGAGCGTGCTCCAGCTTCTGAAGAGTTCTGAAACTGCAGGTCGCTGTTTGATGCTGTTCCAAGGACTGGCGTTCGCCTGGTTACCGGCCAGTGCTCTGGAGCCAGCTGGGGGCCTGTGAATTGCCCCCGTTCCCTTGGAAACATCCCATCAGGGTCATCTAACCCTACCTCCTGCAATGCAGGAATCTTTTGCCTGACACGGGGCTCGAACCCGCAGCCCTGAGATGAAGAATCTCATGCTCCACCGACTGAGTTATCTCGCCAAACCCGCAGCCCAGACACCAGGTTGGGGGCAGGCTCTAAAGGAGACTCCCCCCACCATGCATTACCTGCTGGTCCCAGCCGAGGGCGCTCTGCTTTCCGGCACACAGCTGAGCTCATCGTCGGCGTCTGGGCAGTCGGTGACCCCATCGCACCTCTGGGGTGCTTGGATACAGACCCCCGACGTGGTGCAGCGGAACTGGGAGGGCAAGCAGCCCCCTGGGATGGAGGGCTCTGGAGACGGGCCGACTCCTGCCAAAGGGAACCCACAGCACAGATCCGGTGAAGGAAAGATCAAACAGAATTTATTACGGACCCCAACTTTGTGTAGAAAAGTAACCCAGCCTGCTGAAACGTACCCCAGTAACCAAGCCTGTAAGAAAGGGGAAACTTTCTTTCTGCAAGCTTGAAGCTCACAAAGGGTGAGGGAAAGTTTAGGCTGACCGACTGAATTGACCGCTGTCAGAAGTTGGCAGAGACTAGCAGTAAGGAAGCAACATTATCTTTGAAACTTGGAATCTGCTTGATTTTAAGAAGAAATGGGGGGGGGGGGGATTATAATGTATTTAAGAGAACGCCGTAAGCAACTAAAAACTTTGGCAGGATTTGAGTAATGATTCTGATCACGTAAAACTGTGGAAAAATGGATTACTGTTCTTAAAACAAATTAGAGAAAATACGATAAGCAGATGAAAAGAAAGATTGATAATGGTAACCATGGAAAGGCAGAGGGAAGTCAAGGGATTCAGAGACTCCTAAATGAGGAGGTGAATGATATGTTTGAATTTAAACTTGTTATATAAAACTTATTAAAAATATTAAAATGCAGAGAGGGAGAGAGAGAGAGAAGGGCCATTTGGAGGCACCAGATTTTGGCCTCACACGGGGTGCCATATTACAAAAGATTACCAAAGTCTGAACCTTTTCCTATTCTGCAATCTCCTTTCTGAGTGGAGGCAACCAGAACTGCATGCAATATACTAGACGGATTGCTTGGTTTTACGTGCTTCTTAAGGGGTCTCTGCCCGCTACTCACCGCAGTGCCTCTCGTCCGAGAAGTCCCCGCAGTCGTTGAATCCATCGCAAATGGCCCCATGGGGCCCGGCGGGGACGCAGCGCCCATTCTGGCACTGGAACTCCCCGGTCCAGCAAGGCCTGGCTGTGGGTGGCACCGTTGGGGTCCCGGGAGGCTCTGGGGACACTGAAAGGGGGCAAGGAGGGTGGGGAAGTTCGAGGGTTTAGACAGAAGGAACAGCAGCGCCCAATTGCCAGGGTGGTGCGTGCTCTAGTTCAGGCATCCTCAAACTCGGCCTTCCAGATGTTTTGGGACTACAACTCCCATCATCCCTACCTAACAGGACCAGTGGTCAGGGATGATGGGAACTGCAGTCCCAAAATATCTGAAGGGCTGAGTTTGGGGGTGCCTCCTCTAGTTATCTCCTGCGTGGGGCTACCTTTGAAGGTGACCCGGAAACTACAACTAATCCAGAATGTGGCAGCTAGACTGGTGACTGGGAGTGGCCTCCGAGACCATATAACACCAGTCTTGAAAGACCTACATTGGCTCCCAGTACGTTTCTGAGCACAATTCAAAGTGTTGGTGCTGACCTTGAAAGCCCCAAACGGCCTCAAAGGCCCAGTATCCCTGAAGGAGCATCTCCACCCCCATCGTTCTGCCTGGACACTGAGGTCCAGCTCCGAGGGCCTTCTGGCGGTTCCCTCACTGCAAGAAATGAGGTTACAGGGAACCAGGCAGAGGGCCTTCTCGGTAGTGGCACCCGCCCTGTGGAACACCCTCCCATCAGATGTCAAGGAAATAAACAACTATCTGACTTTTAGAAGACATCTGAAGGCAGCCCTGTTTAGGGAAGTTTTAAACAACTGATGTTTTAATGTATTTTTAACCTTCTGTTGGAAGCCACCCAGAGTGGTTGGGGAGACCCAACCAGATGGGCGGGGTAGAAATAAGATATTATTATTATTATTATTATTATTATTATTATTATTAGTCACCCACCACCGATAGTCTCGCCAATCCTGCCATCCTACCTTTCCCACAGCCCAGCAGCTCCACGCGGAGGAAGATCCCGTTGTGGAAGTCACGGGGAAGGATCCGGACATGCCGGGCGCGCACCATGCGCTGGAAGGTCCTGACCACGGGCGTCGAGTCATCAGAGTTCCCTTGGAAGAGCTAGAGGGAGGGGAAGAGACCGAAGGTCCCATCGTTCAAACTCATTCAACTTTACAAAGCACCGATTGAATGATACACCTTCTCTTTTTCTTTGTATGTCTTTATTTCTTTATAATTAAAAACTTTTCAATAAAGTATTGATACCAACGTTACGAAACACCTAGTCGTCAAGAAACATATACGAACCCACCATCTTTTGAGCCATGGTCTGAGGACCTCACTACCCTAGCCATATTTAAACACATTTCTTATGGACATCAGTTTCCCTTCCTACCTTCCTTCCTTCCTTCCTTCCTTCCTTCCTTCCTTCCTTCCTTCCTTCTCTTTCTTTTGAAATTGAAATTGAAATACTTTATTGTCACTTGTACAACTTGTATACGGTGAGATTACACGAGCACCCCCCACTCAGCTCTCTTGGTCTTAATTCCCCTTGTTTCCCCACCAAACCTGAAAGTCACTTGCCCTGTTGTTCTCTTTTCATTCAGCAGCCTAACAGCCCAGGATAGAAGCTGTTCTTTACCCTGTTGGCATGACTAATCCTGCTTCTATATCTTCTGCCCAAGGGCAGGAGATCAAGAAAGTGCCGGCCAGGGTGTGAATCATCCCTGAGAATTTTCCTCACTCTCCTGAGACAACGTTCTTCCACTATTTCATCCAGTGGATTCACGGGACAGCCCATAATATCTTGTGGTGTATTCACCACCCTCTGTAGGCACTTCCTATCAGCTGATGTCAAACCAGCGTCCCACACCGTGATGCAGTAGGAAAGGACATTTTCTATTGTGGACCGGAAGAAGGAGATCATCAAATGTTGATTGACATCGTTCTTCCGCAATACGCTGAGGAGATGGAGTCTCTGTTGGGCTTTCTTAGCCACCTGGCTTGTGTTTATTTTCCCAGTAAGGTCTTCACAGAGATAAACTCCTAGGAATTTAAAGGAAGAGACTCTCTCCACACAGCGGGGCTAGTTCTCCTCTCTTCTTCCGAATGTCCTGCTTAAGCTGAGATTCCGAAATTGCAGCGGGTTGGACTAGATGACCTTTGGGTCCCTTCCAACTCTATGATTCCATGATTCTACGCAATACAGATGTCCTACAGCTGTTCCCCAACTAAACCCATAAGATCAAAAGTCTTAGATGCAGACGCACAAAGTCCCAAAAGCAGCCTTTGCCAACCTGGTGCCCTCCAGGCGTTCTGAACTACAACTCTTGTCAGCATGAACTGACTGGGGCTGATGGCAGCTGCTTCCCAAAACATCTGGAGGGCACCAGGTTGGCAAAAGCTGCCCTGTGGGCCCATGAGCCTAGCCCTGCAGTGCTGTAGGGACTTCGTTCCCCCCACTCCGTCTTCTTGAGCCAGGGGTTAGAGTATGGGACTAGGACCGGGTTAGAGACCAGGGTTCGAATCTCCACTCAACCATGAAGATCACTGGGCCGAGTGGCTGCCTCTCAGCCCAGCCTACCTCGCAGGCCTGTTGTTGTGGGGAGCAAGTGAGGAGGAAGAGAAGGGACCATGGGACCACCTTGAGTTCCTTGGAGAATAAATAAATGAGATAGACCACGTGGGTCTCGCACCTTTAGGTCGGGCACAGTGCCCATGGAAGAGGCCTCGTGGTAGTCATGCCACCTCACGCCGTCCAGGCTGAACCGCAGGAAGAAGCTGGTCACGTAGGCATCAGAGGATCCGGCCCCCTGCACCACCACCCCTGAGGAAAGGCAATTTTATAATGGGATCAAAATAAATAAATTATGTGTTACATGAAATCAATCGGTAGGCATAAGACTCATGCCCTTAGTCTACGCTGCCTGACCATCAGTCTACATGCACTCTTTGATATTATAAAACAGGCACAACAGCTTGACCTACATTCAACTGGGCTGCACTGCAGGCTGCAGCCGCATGCTGCATGCCACCATGCAACCAGTCCATGCAGAATGTAGGCACCCTATATATAGAAAGGAGCAAACCAGTGATATTTTAGGGAGCAGGCTAATTGTTGAACAGAAATACAATTAAGAAGTAGTATATTAATAGTGAAATAATTACATATTAAGCTCTAACTTAAAAGGATTTTTTATTCATAACAAACTTAATGCAACACACTGGCATTTGGCGAGAACGAAAGTTCCTTTAGAAACACAATTTACAAAGACTCATCGTCTAGTCTCTAGAAACTTCCTATGACATGAAATAATAGGTGTAAATATACGATGCAAACTACTAATAATTATAAATAGCAGAATATAGGCACCCTATATATAGAAAGGAGCAAACCAGGGATATTTGAGGGAGCAAGCTAGCAGGCGGGGGCCATGACTTACATCATAGAAGCCTACACAACACAAAACACAGGTTTTATTTTATTTGTTTGTTATCTTATATTTTGGAAATGTGCACCCAGGTGTTTTTTTCCTTAAATATTTTTTGGGGCCCCCAAGAGAGTGGGGCCCTAAGCTATAGCTTGTTTAGCTTATACGGTCATACCTCATGTTGTGTCTGCTTCAGGTTGCGTGTTTTTGTCTTGCGTCCAGATGTACCCAAAAGTACGGGAACAGGTTGCTTCCAGGTTTCACTGCTCGCGCATACACAAAGCGCTAAATCACGCTGCACGCATGCGCAGACGCGACACTTCTGGAAGCGAACGCTTCGAGTTGTGGAAGTGCCTCCAGGACGGATTATCTCCGCAACTCAAGGTTCCACTGTACGTAAATCTGGCACAGCCCCCACCCGACCTCAGCCGGCTCTCCTGCGATCTTCCTTCCAGAGCAAGGGGAGCACCTACCTGTCAGGTTCCTGGGTTCCCCCAGATCCACGT